TGCTGGAGTTTCAAAAGGACCAAGCAACAGCTTCCCCTCTTGCATGACAACATTCACATGAACTTCCATTTTTAAATAAAGATATAGAAAGGTAAGTAAGCTTTTTCAAATCGGCAGAAATACTCTTTCCAAGGGAGTCATATTTCCCCTTCTTGGCTCTTAAAAGAAAAAAATTCTGAGGGCAAATTTTTTAAAAATTTATTTATTTTTATTGCAAAGTCAGATATATAGAGAGAAGGAGACACAAAGATCTTCTGTCCAATGATTCACTCCCCAAGTGACCTCAACGGCTGGGGTTGAGTCAATCCGAAGCCAGGAGCCAGGAAACTCTTCCGGGTCTCCCATGCAGGTGCATGGTACCAAGGCTTTGGGCCATTCTCCACTGCTTTCCCAGGCCACAAGCAGGAAGCTGGATGGGAAGTGGGGCCGCCGGGATTAGAACCGGCGCCCATATGGGATCCTGGTGCGTTCATGGCGAGGACTTTAGCTGCTGCTAGGCCACCACGCCAGGCCCTAGGGCAAATGTTTAATCTAGTGATTAAAGTGTCTACATCTCACATTGACATTCCTGGGTTCAGTACTCAGATTCTGATTCCAGCTTTCTGCTCAGCATTATTTTTAATAGATTGTTTACTCAATATTACATCAATTAATACCGTAACATTGTATATTGTTGCTGATGATACGTTGGGGCTTTTGATTGATTGGGTTTTTACTCTGTTGGCTCTACCTTCAGACCAGAGAAGGTCTCTCCAAAAAGCCGTTGAACCTATCTGGACAATAACATGCTGGTCTCTATGCTTGGTATATGCTTGCAATGAAGAAATCTCAACTGAACTTGAACTGCGGTCATGCAACAAGGTGAAGGAATCCACCATGGGGGGAGGATTATGGAAGGTGTGGTGGGAATCCCAGTACCTATAAAACTGTGTCACATAATACAATGTTATTAATAAATAAATAAATAAATAAATACAACAAAGAGATGGATTTAGAATAGGCTGAAATAAATACAAGAAGTAGAAGTAAAAAAAAAAAAAAAAAAAAAAGGACTCCGGGACGTGGCAGTGAGAGCTGCAGTCATTTGGCCTCTGACACCCACAAAGGAAGCCAGGATGTGTCCTGAACTCCTGGCTCTGGCTCCTGCCAGTCCCAGCATTTGAGGACATTTAGGGAGTGAAAGAGTACATGGAAGCTCTCTCTGTCTCTTTATCTTGGCATGCCTGTTAAATAAATAAATATTGCTTAAATGCTTCAGGATTTATTCTCTAAGATACAACTTTTTTCAAAGGTGTTTACTGTTAAAAATGCCCAGGTTCCTAAGTGTTTTTTGATGCCACTTATTACCTCTCCTAAAATAAAAAACAAGTAAATCCTTTTTTCTGGCTTTTCATGTGTAATTGCCATTGCTTCAGATATTCTTGACCTAAGGAGTAACTTTGCATTTCAAATAAAAATCCTCTAGTCAGTTGTTCAATTCTGATCAATGGAATTGGAAATTCTTTGTACAATGCTCTACACACATGTTAGCAATGATTTCTACTGAAAAGTTGAATGGGTCAGATGGGAACAACATCCTAAATAAGTAGAGAGGGAGGGGTTGAAAGCAAAATGATTTAGGAATCAGCACAGAAGAATAGCTCTAGCAACCCACATGGATGCCAGCTCATATCTCGGCTGCTCCACGCGATCCTAACCTTGTGCCCGGGACACCTTTGGGAGATGGCTCAAGTCCTTGGGACCCTGTCCCCACATGAGAGACACAGAAGAAGCTCATAGTTCCTTGTTTTGGGTCAGTTCAATTTTGGCCATCATGGTCATTTGGGGAATGAACCATCATGTAAAAGACCTCTTTATCTCTCTTTTTATCCTTGTACAACCTGCCTTTCCAATAAAAATAAATCTTTACATAAAAAGGAAATAAAATTGTTTAGGATACACAGCAATGATTCTGGTTACTTCATTTCTTGGGGATATAATCCTTCTTACATTCCTTTGATGACCCACAGTTACATATTACCATGGAAAGTCAAATAAATTATATCTTAAAAGTATTATAAAATATGCTCCTGGTGATATTTCCTAGAATAGTTTCCCAATCCTTCTCCAAGTATTTGTCCTCTGGTGTTGTTAGGCTTTGTTTGTATTCATTTGTGGCATCAAATGTTCAATTGAATTTAATTCAAATCAACTTAATTTCCATAATGGGTTATGCAACTTGATGAGAAAAAACATGCAGTGAGCTTTGCTTCTTTAAGAAAAGACATCCAACTAACATCATCTGTTAGTTATGACAATTCAAGTTAATCAACTGTTTCTTTTTTCTTCTAGTGGCAAGAAAGCAGGAGAGGGAGGGAATTGAGAAAGGCTTTGCATTAATGTCAATCAGTTCTCAGAAGACAGAATCTGTTCCTTTAGGTCTGAAGAATCAGGTACACATGTTTTTAATTAGCAACATCTTTGCACTACTGTAAGCCTCATTTAAATATCTTCTTTTAATGGTTATGTTGATTTTCTCAAATATTCACGTTCCTGTACGTCCAGGGAAAATAACTTCATCAATTTAACCAACTGAAACACACAGACTTCAGAGTAGCAGAGAAAAGCCTCTTTCTTGTCCAGGGATGATGGCACTAAAGGAATGCAGCCTTCACAAAGGGGCATTTGTCTTCCTGGTCCAGTAAAAAGCGGGTACTTTCTGAAACTAATTTGTAAAGATGACACGTACTTTCCTGCAGATACAAGAAGCACGTGTTTCAACTACTTGGGGCAAACGAAAAGTTTGTTTACCACAATACTGTGCAAACTGTTTTCACAGGGACTGGAAAGCAACACACTCTGTCCTAGATTACATCCAGCAAGATATATTTCTCTTTAAGTTCAAGTATTTCACAGAGGTCAGATGGATTCCCTGGAGGCACTGTTTCAGGGAGAGTCATGATGTTAGAATAGTGCCTCTGTTTCAAAGTAGAGCTGGCCAAAGTTGATGGGCGGGTTTGCACACACACCCCTTCACTGCGTGTGCAGCTCCACACAGCGTTCAAGGTATGGAATGAGTGCAGCGCTGGCCTGGACTCTTCAGCTAGAGCATGGAGGATCAAGTCATAGCTGCTGCAGAGAAATGGCTCAGAGTCCGTCGCAGCTTCCAACTGTGCCTATGAGAAAATGAAGTGCACATTCAGGCTTGCTTACCAGGTGCAGTCTGGCTTGATGACATCTGTCCTCAGTAGAACCGACACAAACCCTAGTAGCTGCAGCAGTCACCCTGTGTGCCCCCTTGTGTAGCTCACTTGGCTGGCACCTTGAGGAGCCCAGAGCCTGTGCGAGGCCAACCACAGTACAAAGTGTTGTGATCATCCGGACCAGCTGGGCACCCTGATATCTTGGATGCAAACGTGTGGGGAAAGCCTATTCAGAACTTCCGCAGTCTTGTCAGAAAATCAAGGAGAGACGATTCTGTGTAATTGCCTAGGAAGTGGGGGCAGTATATGTGGACGTGGACTTGCATCCCTACACCCTGGGGGAATTAGAGTCGCGCCCCTTCCTGAGCCAACACCACCCCTGATTCCCTCGCTAGTCATTTCCAATTTCTTCCTATTTCTACCCAAAGCTTCCAGGTGCAGAAATCTGCACTGTATAAGTTGAGTGCCTGAAGCAGTGGGCATTTTCCCTCTTTACTACACAAAGCTTTTCAAGCCCACAGGACACAATTCTGATCAGTCTCCCAACTGTTTCAACTGTTTTCAGCGTTGTGTGTTGCAGTGCTCTACTGCCACCCCTGACCTCAAGGCTCTGATCGCCAGGGGTGTGAGGTAAAGCCGGACCACTCACCCAGATCCTTCTTTATGTTCAGGATCAGCCGGTTGTGCCAAGTGCAGGTGGAGTGGGCAGAAGTGTGTGTGTGTGTGTGTTTGGGTGGGGGGAGGGTTCTTGGAGCTTTGGCTCCGCGCCTGTGATGTCTGGGGAGAGCGGCGACTCGCCTTGCTGGGGCGAAGGGGCAGAGTGTACGGCTGGAGAGGAAATGCGCTGAGAACTCCCCGCGAGGAACCTGCGGGCTGGGCTTTGTTCTGGCTTTAAAGAGCAAGGGGTGGTTGAACCCTCCGCCTGACTTTCCGCGTCCCTTACCCCATCCTTTATGAAATAAGCACCCCTCCGCCCCCTATGCTGGGGCCTGGACTATGAGAGCCTCCTGGACAGTGAGTATCCGGAACGCTCCTGTGCTCTGGGGCTCCGCCAGCCCGGCCTGACACTCACTTGGTCTGCGTCTGCTGGATCCTCAGCCGCGCTGCGCGGTAGCAACGCTGATATCCCTCTGCTTGATTTTTGATTTTTTTTCATTTTTTTTCTTCTCTCGCCTGTTTTTTTTTTTTTTAAACAAGAACCTGTCGTTTCTGTGCAGAGGGTATAAGGCTCATAAGCATCCGATCTAGGAAATTAAAATAGGGCATATCAAAAATGTGATTCCCTTGCTTGTTAATCAAGATTTCAGAGTCTTCCAAAATAGCCCTTTTCATCTTATGTAATTAGAACCCACAAGCTTTACAAAGCAGCTCTGGATTTTCCACGGTTCTCCTGCATCTCTCTCTCTCTCTCTCTCTCTCTCTCCCCCTCCCCCTCCCTCTCTTGCGCGTGTGTTCGCGCGTGCGTGCGTTCTCTTTCATTTCTAGCATCGAGAAACTCGTTCAGGGCCACTGAAACTCAGGAGCGGCTCAGATCTTATTTCCACGGATTCCTGCCTTTCCGGAAATGTTACGCCCAAATAAGTATGAGGCTGCGATTTGGGAGAAGCAATTAACCCCTACCAGAAAATAAATCACCGGAAGAAAGGAGGCGAGGCTGAAAGACTGGATTCGCTGGTGGAGGAAAAGTGCGACCTGGGACCAGGCTGGGGAGGTCCAGTCCCCTGACTTCAGCACCGGAGGGGATGGACAGCGTCTCCGGGCTGAGCTGCAGCCACTGGGACAGAACTGCGCTGTTGCCGCCGCGGCTGCTAGCTTTACCGCCACGGGTAGCTAAGCTTCTGTCTCCTCGCAGCTGAAAGGCGGTGCCTCCTAATATCGCTTCGCTTCCCAGTCCGCTTTCTTGATGGACGCTGAATAACCCTTCCAACACACACCCCCTACCTAGAGGCAGGACTCTGAGGAGTAAGTACTCTTGCTCCACAGTGAAACTCAGTAGCAACTTTTAAGAATAATTTCTCCATAGGGGGGCTGAGAAGAATGCAGGCAGAGAGGGAAGTCCAAGTTCTTAGAAGCACCCAGGAATCATGGGTTCTGCAGTAGGGGACAGAATACTCAAAGGCCCACACTTCCTGAAATAAGCAGAATGTTCCTTAATCGATTGCAACTGCTTTGGAAATAGCTTTGGGAAAGGAAGTCTGGGATCTACTCATTGCTCCACCTGGGAGAAACGGAGAAGACTTCCAATTTCTGTGTTTGGCAGGTAAGTGAGACTAGTGCTATTTCTGTTTGTTACAACTATTAAAAGAAGAAAAAGAGACATTAAGGATCTGATTTTGTCTTGTGAATTATGGTAAAACTAGACAACCTTGTTGCAAAATCATTGCTCCTGTGTCATGATTTTAGAAAATCTTCTACCTGATAAAAGTCAGATATATTACTTCTCTTTAGTCACTTATATCACAACAGGAAAGGCAATGTGTGATGCTCACTTGAGTGGTTATAGTACAATCTTACCTTGACTTCTTAATTTCTCACCTAATGCCTGCTTGAATCTGTGTATATCTATTTTTTAAGAATAATATAGTCTGATATTTTGCAAGAGGGTATTTTCTGATTTACGCATGCAGTCAAAAGTGATCTTGCCTGTGTTATACAGTGTGTTGTAAGTCTCACAAAGTTAACATACACTCGATATGATAATATTTCACAACACATTTTATATGGCAACATTTAGCCAAAGCAAGAATGGAAAAAATTTTAAAGAAATGAGCACTTTTGTCCATGTGAACCCTCGATGTACATGCACCTGTAGAATGTTATCTGAACACACACACTCACACACACACACACACACACACACACACACACACACACTATTTTTACTTAGCATTCTTTTCCAAGCCTTTTACAACTCAATGCTACTTGCTCCCAACAGATGTGCCAAGAGGCAGAAAATAAGAGGCTTTAACACGCCTGTTTCAGAGAGCTGGGGTTTGACGTATTAGTTCTGCCAAATACATTTGTCACTGGAACGCAGAAAGTGGCAGAGCCCAATAGATTCTCAGCAAATCATAAACTTTAAAATTCTAGTTAAATCTGTTTTTGCTTGCTCTCACTTTTGAAGTCTTAACTTAGAGTGTTAAAATCGCAGTCTTGCACTGTGACCTTGATAAGCATTCTGCTTTTAAAATAAAGGGTTCATTGGGTAAAAGCAGTGATACAAATTTATAGCTCATTCCTGACATTCCACTAAGAATCAATCAGTTGAAGTGAGTGCATTCAGTTCAGTGGAGAATGTTGGCCCTACAAGGACAGAATTTTTTAATCTTGCAAAGACCTGCGGTGGAGTATGCACGGAGTTTCTCTCCTTTGAAAAACAAAAATATCGGGAGTTATTTATGCTTTGCTTTGATATAACATGGATATGTAACTAATAACTCAGCGTATTCTAGTCTTCCTGTTCTTTCCTATTGAAACACAGAAGTCCTCCCGTGCAATTTCAGTCATATTGATGGCACTGATGGGTAGGCTTCTGGCTTTTTATTTGCCATGGCCATTACAACATGAGGAGGAATGGTCCTGCACCATCTCTCACCACTTGCCAGGAACCTATTTGCTTAGCAGAAAGGGTGAGGAAGCATGTCTGTCACTGAGCTCCCTGGGGGGCTCCTTTGCCCTACATAGGTCAAAAACGATCATCTGAAGAGCAGGAGCATGGAGTACTGATATTATTCCCACAGTGTGCTCCTAACACAGTCTGACTTTCCTTCACCAAGTCTGCGATGCGGAAGTGAAAGCCTTACACGGAAAACTTAATCACATTTTAAAAGAGCTGCAGCCTGTTGTGAGACTATTATTTTGGTTGTCAATTAATTAACAAAAGTGGACTCCCCAGATCAGCAGAGCATAAAATGAAATCCAGGAGTATGTTCCAGGAATCGTGCCTGTGGGTTTACAGCCGCAGTTCCCTTCTCGTGGGTAGAGGGGGCAGGCTTTCTCCATGTGACGGTAGAATTTCATAGAGTAAAAGTTACCTTTGCCTAATCCTTTTGGAGACTCAATCGCAGAAATAAATAACTTTAATTTACCCTTCAGAACTTAAGAAAGTACATGGAAACCTCTGTCAGTCCTTACCTCTAGGGAAAGCACAACACATCGAGGCAGAGCTTTGCAAACTGAGTTTTGGTCACTCAAACGGTAAATTACACAAAGAGAGAGAGAAAGAGAAAAAGTGGCTGTTACCGAAAAGCAACATTCCTTTGGAACACACTCACTTGTCTTTAAACAGAAATGAGCACTTACACTCACTTGTCTTTAAACAGAAATGAGCACTTATATATTCAGCAATGTTTTCACTTCATCCATTAAAGTAATCTCTATCCTTGATATTTTGTTTGTTAGCAAAAAGGATGCATGAGGTTTGGGGAGTATCATGCACATGAATTCAATACCTCCATCCACCAAAAAAGTTCTGTTGGCTATGGCTACATCCTGTAACTGTGCTTACATTGAGATTCAGAAGACAAAAGGAAATAGAATTACATAATCAGGAAAGTGTAAAGTATCAGCAGGGCACAAGGATAATTAGAAATGAATCCTGGGTTCCGTTCAATTGCTTTTCATCCTTTCACAAGAGATGGAAGGTGCAGAACAGGAAAGAAACTTCGAGTTCAAATATTTAAATTGCAAAAGACTGTAAAACTCTCTTGGTTAACTGTTTGAGTAGACTGTCCAAGTATCAAATGGATATGCTGATGCAATTATTGATGCCGTTTGATCAGAATGGATAAAACGCCCACAGATTGCCTTGGGAAGTATATTGCTGAATTTGGATCAAGTAAAAATGTTTTGAAGGAATGTCCAAGAATGATATGACTATTCTCAAAATTTAGGAATTCCTTTCAATCATTCCCTACTTTTTCAGCACTTAAAAAGTATAAATCTCATGCAGTTTACTCGATGTTGCACAAGCTATGGGTGAAGAAACGAGTATCATTGGCAAGAAATGATTTTGGAATATCCTCGCCTCCTCATAATCCTGAACAATAAACTATATAATAGGACTCAGCTGAACAGAGGGCTCACAGAGGATATTTTCCTACCATTTAGCTTAGCAGAGTGTTACACATGGTATGCACTGAAAGAGACAGCACACTGCAGCATAAAACATGCTATGCATCATGATGTAGGAAAACAAGCACTGTTTGATAGTCAAAAAATGAGGATTATTAAACTACTAGTCACAAGATTTTGTACAAGTCTCTGCCTTCTGAAGTTCAATTTTTTTTCCCGTCATGGGGAAACTAACTACTCAATTGAAACAAAATTTTCTCAATGCATTGTTGATACCTAAATAATTATTTAGTGAATGAAAGTGCCCATTATGTGAAATATTTGAAAGACTAAAAACAAAGCTTTGACTGTGCTTTGGAAACTTGTGTGCAATGCCTGTGAAATACATTATTTTAAATAACATTCATCTATTCTTCAAAAACATTTCTGATTATTAGATGGTAGAGATGTCCTTTACATTTTAAACTTTTCATTGTAAGGAATATATTTGCTGTTAATTGACTATCATGCTCTCCATCTCTTAATTGTATTAAATGTAGGCAGGCTGCATTTTAAATAAAAAGTTGTTACTCAAGATAGACACAGTGTTCTGCAGCAGTTGGTTAAACCTAGGTCAACATGACCCAAGCCATTTAACACCTTTCACTTTAACCTTTAACACTCTTTGTGTTGTACTTGGTAGAAAAATAGGTTTAATATTTAGCATTACTAATACTGACAAGAGAATGCATAGGTTTATATAGAATTTGAAGCTAAATCTCAAAACCCATTGAGATGGTCCTGGATTTGTGTATGGCTAGTGAAGATGGAGTGAAAGCTACACACTTTGGGGTTGATCCATTGAAAAAATCTTGACAAGCAATAGAAATAGAGTGTTGATTTCGTCCATTGGCCCAGCTTCATCCATAAAGATTTTCAGGATATTTCTGCCGCGCATATTCTCATTGTTTATTTGCTTTTGTTTGTTAAAGTTTCATATGGTTTTCATATATTGTTTCAGTGTCATTTATTTGTCTAGGTACATTTCTGTACTATCATTAAAAGTGCACTAATGATATGTTTAAGAAAGTTACCCATTGTTTCATATTAATTGCCAGTATATTTCTGTGGTTAAACTATTTCGATTATATTAGAGAAGAAAACTTGCATAATTATCTATTTAATGATACATTTTTGATTGTTTTGTGTATTGTTGTATACAAAAGAGGGAAACAATAGATAATGAAAAAAAAAACAAGAAATAATATGTAATTAAAATAACTTCTTGGGGTCAAGATCTTCATCTTCAAATTAGATTGTATTGGGAAAGTTGTTCAGCATCTATATGCTCCAAGCAGCAAAAGATTATTTTAAGCTTCATGAATTTGTTCCACAATTTATCAGCAGAGTTAAAGTAAGTGTTTACTTTAAATAAAAGAGTCAAATCAATTTATTGTTATATTGGCTAATAATAACTGCCAGTTTTAATGTATAAACTTATATATTCTTTATAATTAAAATGTGAAATAACTAAACCTGTATTTATATTTCACAAAACATTAACACTTACTCAAAATTCCTTCTCTAAGCTTTATTTACACTTCATTTTATTCCTCTAGAAAATGTCCCCTAGTCTTATGATATAAAGTACACTTGAATTATCATCAACCCTTACTTTGAGTTTTATTACAGAGATAGTATTAACTACCCAAGTCGGAGATGCAATGTTTTGGAATCTTTTTGTCTCAAAATGTAAAACAAAATAAAATGTCCACTTCTATGTGTTTCCAGAACAGCTCTGTAATAATGTAAGCGGAAGGACTGGTCCACTGCCTTGCACACATGTGATGAAGTCACGTAATCTATCATCTTCATCTTCTACTGTGAAATTCTCAACAAATTTAAGCACATTGGCTTGCGATTGCTCTAAAATCCTGGGTTCTATAAGGAAAAGAAATCTGTCTCAGGCTGAAATATTTACAATGTGACCTTCCGTGAAAGCAATATACTTCAGTTTTGGGATATCTTCCTGACCTTTTGGGTTAACAAGTGAATAATTTCTTAAAAATACATAAGTAGAGACTAATGGGAACAAATGAGTAAATATTTTTTCTAGATAACATATTTGATATATTTTTAGAAGATTTAATTAATATATTTTTTTCATTTATCATATAGCAAGCTTACTCCAGTTTAGTTGATTTTTTT